TCAGAACCAACGTACCAACTCCTGAGCAGGTAACGCCCGTAAGGCCTGTGGAGCAGCTACTCCAGGTAGCGGTAACGAACCGGTCTTGGGCTGGTCTAGCCTGGTTCTCGCCCCTATCTCTCTACTTTAGGTTGATACCTAGGTGGTTAGTCTGGTTAAGCGGTGAATAGGACTGTAGTTGTGAACTATTTTATTATCTCAGATGAGGGTGATTTTGGATTAGGGAGGAGGGGATTTATGATGTTATTGTTTGAATGTTATAGAATGAATGTATAAATAAATATATATTAAATATATATATATATAGAATTCTTGTTTGAAGTAGAGTGAAGATTAAGAAGATTATACTCTGTAATTATGAGCACCGCCACACTGGATATTACTGATCGGTTCCTGGTGGGTTTGGGTGGAGTCCCCCGGTATGGGTTGGTTATATTACTTACAGTTATGAAGGAGTACAGGGTATATCAGGATGAGTCTGGTTGAATCTCCATAGTACACAGTGAAGCATATGATTTGACCTTGATTTTATGAAATCAAAGCATCAATTATGATTAGACTAGTTGACTCCTAGACATAAAATAGAAGAATAGGCAAGATAAGTGTAAATATACCATACGGTACGGTAATACCGAATACCCCACGAATCCTCCATTTCCACCAAATTTCCCGTTCTCCTGGTTTGGTTCACTTACTTCACTTCATTCTTCATTCTTTCTTCTCTTTCTGGTCTCTCCACCCCCTGGGACGTGGACTTTTGATCTGGACCTTTTTGGCTTTGGGGATTCACGTCCTTTTCCTCCTCTCCTCCATTCCTCTCCTCTCCACACGCCCTTTTTCTACCCCGATTTCCCTGTTTTCTCTCGGGGTTTCTTCGCTCTTTTTGGATCCGTGTGGTTTCCCTCTCTTTCGGTCCCTCACGATCCACAGTCCACACATTGCTGTGTGTCTCTGCTGCTCTCCAGTCCTTTCAATCCCTTCAACACCCTCTCTCGTGAGGCGGTGTTTCCCCTGACTATCGACATCTGAGATCTGAGATTAATCTCCGAACCATCTCGAGAACCCCCTCGGCCCCGTTCTTTACCCGCCCGTCCGCCACGATCGGAATTCCTGTCCCTCCTACCGCCGCCGCCCCCGTATTTGACGGGAAATAAACGTCCTGTCCATGTTCTCCCCATCGCGAATCCCTCGCACCCTCGAATGAATAGTCCCGACGTGAATCCACTGAGGAGATTCTGTATTGCCTCCAGCAAACAGGCCCAGGAGCAACGTGACCGCCGCCGTCGCGGTCCCTGATGATCGGTCGTTCCGGGGCCATGTCGCCTGTCTCCGTCGACGGGAGCGACTGGTCTGGAATCAATCAGTACCAGAAGTCCGAACCACCCTTTTCCCCCACCTTTTCCAACCGCAGCAATCTCGCGACCCCTCCCACCTCCGGCGTCCCCAGCGGCCCCAACGGCGCCCTCCCAAATGGCTCCTCCCACCTGGGCGATTCCGGCAACCCCTCGCCTCCGAGCTCCGTGACCGGCCGCTCCAGTGATGGCACCCTGGCCGACCAGCGCGGCCGCCGACACAGACAGCTGGAGGAGATTCTGGGTCAACACTATGTCGCTTTCCGACGTTTCCTGCACGCCCCGTACCAAAACGACCGCATCGGTCAAAAACCCAGCAAGGCCCGCGACAAACTGCTGCGCCTGTCGCCCACCCAGTTCCATGAGCTGAGCACCGACGTCTACGATGAATTGCTCCGTCGGCAGCAGGCCATGCCCTCGCCGAACCGACCGCCGCCGCGCATGGAAGTCCCCCCCTCCCTCCCCCCGCGTTCCGAGTTCCACGAGAAGCGCAACCAGGCGCGTCAGAAACTCGCCTCGCTGCAGCATCAGCGCTTCCGCGATTTGGCCACCGACGTCTACTGTGAACTCGAGCGGCGGTTCCCCCAGTTTCCCTCCCGAGAATCCCGTCGCGCTAGCCCGGCCTCCAGTTACCGCAGCCGTCCCTCGAACGCCTATCCGCCCGGCTACGGCCCCGCCGGATACCCGCCGCCTCCCGGGAGTCGGCGCTCACAGTCGCGGGGTCCTCCGTCGCGGATGGGCAGGAGATACCCCTCCCAATCGTCCCCGGGCAGCCCAATGGGTGCTTTCCCTCCGCGGCAAGCGTCTCTGAGCGTGAGCGGATCCGTGAATGGGGATGCACCCTTGGCCAAACCCTTCCAGAGTAACACGATTGTTCCGAACAAGAGTACCATGGTGGAGGACGATGACGATATGGCCGGGACTGAGGATGACTACGACGCCCGGAGTGATGCATTTGCTCTCGATGCCGTGCTCAGCCGACGGGGCACGACCACGACGATAGGCGACGGGGAGCGCAGGATGCTGGCCGATTCCCAGGCGCAGGTATCGACGCTACAGGAGAAGGTCCACAAACTGGAGGAGTCGATGAAGTCGAAAGACGAGGAGCTTCTGAAATACCGGGAGAACCAAGCCCATGTTGACTCTCTCGAGGAGCTGGTCAAGTCGAAGAGCGAGGAGCTCGCCAAGTATCAAGAAGAGCACAAATCCCAGGTAGGACCGGACCCGTACATTTACTTCTGGCCCGTTTCCTTCTTACTGACGACATAACGAACAGACGAATGCGACCGAGCGCCAGGAGTGGGAAGCGGTGAAGTTGGAGCTGGAAAACAAGGTATCGCAAGCCGAGGAATTGAACAGCTCTTTACACGTCGAGCTGGATCGGGTGCGAGCGGAACATGACGCCATGGAGAAAGAGTTCCAATCGAAGATGTCTGAAGCATCGCAGAGTGGCGGGGATGCGGAGCTGCAAGCTCGCTTTGCGGATCTGGAGATCAAGCACCAGGGCCTGGAAACCGAACTGCAACAACAGCAACAGGTGACCGAAGAGGTCCGGCGGGAGGCCGCTGGCTTCTTGATGGAGATGAGGGCCTTGTCGGAACAGAGTCACACTCGATGGGAGCACGAAGAGCGACTGTCCAGCGAGGTGCAACGACTGGAGGAGGAACTGAAGCAGTGGAAGTCCCGCTACGCCAAGGCCAAGGCTCAGCTGCGGCACCTGCGCGCCTCCTCGGCGGGCATCTCCGAGCTGCGCCCCGATGCCAGCAGCGTCGCCAAAGAGAACGAACTGCTGCAGGAGTACGGTCTGGTGAAAGACGTACACGTGACCAAGTTCCAGATCTCGATCGACGAATTGATTCGCGTGGCGCGGTTCGACGAGCACCACTTTGTCATGCACCAGATCAAGGGCGTTGTCGTCGCCGTGCGCCACATCCTCCGGGACATTGAAGTCGGCGACGGAGTGGACGATGGGACATCGGTGCTGCGGGCCAAGGCGACTCGCAAGGTCTCCGCCACCGCGAACAACCTGATCACGGCGTGCAAGAACTTCGCCGGCTCGAGTGGCCTGTCACCCGTGTCGCTCCTGGATGCTGCTGCGTCGCATATGTCCACTGCCGTCATCGAGCTTATCCGGCTGGTGAAGATACGGCCGAGCCCTGTCGATGAGGACGAGGATGACGATGAGCATTTTACCCAGATGAAGTCCCCCGACTATTTCAGCGTGGCGCCTAGCCACAGCCGGTTCAGCCGCAACGGTTCTATCTACAGTGCCTTGAGTCCTCCGTCTAATCGCTCCCGCACCCCGACGGACGCGCATCCCAACGGACTGGGGCCGGCTGTGCAGTTGAACTACGGGGCACCGAACGCAGACCACGAGCTCCAGGAACTCAAGGTGAGTCGATCTAGTTAACCGAATTGTCGAGATCTTGCCGCTAATAATCTGTCAGCTCTACGTGGAAGATCAAACCGACGGCCTCGTCCAATCGATCCAAGCCCTCGTGGCCAGCATCCGCTCCGAAGGAGACCTAACTGCAATTCGCACCCACGTATCCGCCATCTCATCGGTCGTCAACAACGTCACCTCCTCAACCCAGCATTTCGTCCACAAGCCCGAAACAAGCCCCCTCCTCCGGGACCGCGCCGCGCCAATGCTCGAAACATTAGAGCACCACCGGAGCCGCCTCATCGAAACTGCCGCCCAGGGCGAAGCGCCATCCAGTCCCGAGGAGCTGCGCGAATGTACCAACCGACTGCCCCCTATTGCCTTTGAAATCGCCCGCGAAACCAAGGAGTTGGTGCAGCGGTTAGAACCCGTAAACCACCACCACCACAACGACGACGACGAAGACGATTTCCGATAGTCTCCAGTCTACCAGTCTACCTTGGGTAAGGGTTTTCACGATGCGAACGCTTTCCAGACATTTTTGTTGCTTCTTTGTCTTAAACACTTAATTGTAATGTTTTGTTCGTCTTTTTCCTGACCTATCCCACCTACCTGATCCTTTTCATGATTGTTTTTTTTTTTTTTTCGAGAATGAATGGTGTAATACACCTGGAAGGTTTTATTCTTCTTCTGCTTTTCCTTTTTTACTCCTTTTTTGCAGTCCCAGCCATCATGCACGACCATGAGCAAAACCCATGTGGCACGAATTGTTGTATCCGGCGGAGCTCTCTGATCCTTTTTTTCCTTCATCATCCTTTTTCTTCTTTTCCTGCCATTTAATTGAGCCCAGCCTCCCTTCCGCATTTTGCGTCTTATTCAATTCTCCGCCTGCAGATTAGCAAGGGTTTCTATGTATTTTTACTGGCCTCGATATTCTTCACTTCTTTGTTGATTTTTTCAGTTTCTTTACATTCTGCCATTCGCAGTTCACCTACCTACCTACTTTCTTGCCCATGATTAGCGTTGTGTTTCTTTGCAGGTTTTTTTCTGTGATAGATACGTGGCAGGTTATTCTGTGGCATATTATATATATCTTTATTAACACTATATACGGACACATATTGAAATATAGCATTTTTTGAATCTTGTATTCTCTCACGCTGGTAAGGGCTAGGCACCTGGTGGTATAACCATGGAAAAGCTGGGTGTAGTGATTGAAGAAGCCTTTCCCTTATCAATCACTTTTCTGGATTGTCTCCACAGTAGGCAGGGTGGGAGAGTGGTTAATCCGCAAGACTTGAATGAGGTGCTACCTAGTTCCCCTGACATCTTGTCCCTTCGGGGTCGTCGGTTCGAATCCGGCTCCTGTCGTTTTTTTTTAATCTTCTTATCAGTTTCAATCACCTTATTTTCTCCTGGTCAATGGGTGCTTTTGGTGCTTTTACAATGATAGTATGTATATACTTATATCAAATAATATTTAATCTAATCTGGATTGTTTTATTTGTATCTGGTGAACACTCCGGATTCTGCAATTCTGGGATTCTGTGATTCTGGGATGTTCTGGACTGTAACCGCCCCACTTGAGATCGAACCGGATCTAGCCTGGATCAGTAAGTGCTTACCTAATTATACTTATTCGGACTATACCCCTTTCGGAAGCTTTGGTGACAATTTTCTTCCGCTCCTTGTTGTCGTCCTTCACTTGGTGCGAGCTTGACCAATTCAACGTCTTCCAGCCCTTGTACATTAGCTCTCATCCTCCTCACCTCTTTTCTAAATTATCACCAATTCTTGTAAGTAGCCATAGTCCCTCCCTTTCCCCCTAATTGGACCTGTGGGTCAGTGTTTGGGGGGGTGGTTGGGGGAGGCTGGTTCCTAACCGTGACTTCCACCTCCCCTTCCTTCCCTTCGGACCAACCACACCGCAGCCTCAGGCCAACCTGCATGTTTGGCGCGCGTTGGCTGACGCATCCACCGGAAGCAGAGATCCTCGGCGGCCGAGTTATCCCGTGTCTGCCCCTCCAGCAACAATGTTCTCCCGAAGCGTCCTGAGGTCAACAACGGGTTTAACCCCACCTTGCTCCTTCGCTTCTCGTCCCCTCTCCTCCGTCCTCAATTGCAACCAGTCCTCTTTCCTCTCTCTTCGTCCATTCCATCAAACAGCATCCAACATGTCCGGAAACACCAAGGCTTTCTTCGACGTCCAGTACGCCCCTGTGGGCTCCAGCGCCCGTAAGTTCCTTTCCCCCTTTCTTTTTCTACGCTGTCTCCCTGCCCCTCGTCCTTGGTTTTTGAATGAACCTTTGGTGGGGCAGAGGGATTGAGCTTTCTTTGCTTTCTTGTCGTGATGCTTCTTCGAGGAGCTTCTGTCTTCCAGCTCAATTCACGCTGACTGGCTTGCCATCTGACAGCCAAGACGGGCCGCATCAACTTCACCCTCTACGAGAAGGACGTCCCCAAGACCGCTGCCAACTTCCGTGAGCTTTGCAAGAAGCCTCAGGGTGAGGGCTACAAGGGCTCCACCTTCCACCGTGTCATCCCCCAGTTCATGCTCCAGGGTGGTGACTTCACCCGCCACAACGTGAGTCGACTCTTCCCGTTTCTGTTTCTTCCCCGCAGCTTCCTTCTAACGAGGTCTTGATATAGGGCACCGGTGGTCGCTCCATCTATGGTGAGAAGTTCGCCGATGAGAACTTCATCCACAAGCACACCAAGCCCGGTATCCTCTCCATGGCCAACGCTGGTCCCAACACGTAAGTCTCTTGCTCCTCGTTGCTCCCACCGTCAAGGACTCCACTAACAGGGGGGTTCCTGCAGCAACGGCTCCCAGTTCTTCATCACCACCGTCGTGACCTCCTGGTTGGACGGCAAGCACGTCGTCTTCGGCGAGGTTGCCGACGACGCCTCCATGCAGATCGTCAAGGAGATCGAGGCTCTTGGCTCCAGCAGCGGTGCTATCCGCTCGAACGTCAAGCCCACCATCGTGGACTGCGGTGAGCTGTAAATTGCCCAACGGAAAAACGGAAATTTTTTTTTCTCATCAGATTGATTTGCGTTTCGTATGATCCATTGCCTGGTTGCTCGGCGGAGATTGGAAATATTTTTCTGAGATCTTCTGAGTGATGATGGCGATGACGGTCGGTCTGTATCCTTGGGTGGTGTAATCTAGAGTGTCTCCCGATATATTAGCATCTCACCATCACCTTGCTCTATCGTAGACTTATATCGTATTGCGTAACTTCGTAGTTCAAACTGTCTCTCGTATTGAGGGCAGTTCGCAAGACCCCGCCCCAAATGGCGGGGTCATTGCCAACGAGGCGTAGGACCCCCTGGCTCCAACATGCAGCCCTAGCTAGCACTTTCGTTCCCCTATCTGCATGTCTGACCAACAAGATGGGCTGAGTATTTCTAGATCCTTCGTCATGCACGAATGTTGCACATGACGATATACGGGTGTTTACTATTACATCATGTTCGGTAGACTCACGATACTTAGCATTAACAATTTATTATGTGAAGACTATGTATATTTATATGTATGGATGATTTATTATATTTGATAGAAATGTAGAGAACTAATTTGACTTGATCTCTTCGTCGTAAATGAGGTAGGTAGGAGGTAGTAGGTAGTAGGTATACAGACATGTACATACTCCATGAGGGACTTCAGAGAAATCAATATAACATAATGAACGAATGGATGAATGCCGGTACATATAAATGGTGAATAAATGGGACGAAAATGCAAGGAGATAATGTATACTAGGAGAGCATATCCGAGTAGGGAATCTTTGTGAATGGGCAGTAGGAAGTAGGCAATAGACAGTAGGCAGGTAGGTAGGAGGATGGTTAGGAGATAGACAGATTAACCAATCTACCAATCTATCAATCATCCACAGCATTTCGTCACAGCCGTAGCATCATTCCTATACGTATACATTGCGGTTAGCAAGTTCATCATCTATATTCACCTCTCTCTGCCAGCAGCAAAAATAAAGAGAAAAAAAAAAAAATACATACCAATGACCCTCCCCTCCCAACCCCTCCCACGAAAAGATCAACGCCCCCAGAAACGCCCCTATAAAGATACAAATGATAATGTACCCGTTGAAGTACATCGCCAGCAGCATGATGAAGTACGCTACTGCGAACTGCAGCATATGCAGCAGGGCGCGGATGAGCTGCTCCGTTGGTTTGGGGCGGATGGTTGGTGGGGGTGTTGTTGCTGGGGTAGATACTGAAGTTGCGGTTGCAGTGTTGGTGGATGCTGTTGGTTTGGGGCTGTTAGGAGGGGAGGTGTATGGGGTACTTGGAGCTGGTGCTGGTGCTGGGGCTGAAGCTGAAGCTGCGGTTGATGCGTCCGTGAGAGATGGAGATAGGTACTGATGTCGGAGTCTAGCACGGCGGATGATGAAGGCGTCGTATTCGCGGCCGATCCGACGGAGGAACTCGAGGATGAGAACTAGACAGATGACTCCTATGCAGGAGCCGGCGAATTCGCTGGTGGAGGTGATGTGCCAGGTTGAGGAGAGGAAGCCTTTTTTTGGTTAGTTTGTGGTGGTGGTGGTGGTGGTGGTGGTGGTGGTGGGAGAGATATTAGGAGGGAGATATTGGGGGGGAGATATTGGGAGGAAGGGCTAACAAGAGTCAATGGTGTTCCAGTTCCATAGCATCTGAATGAAAGTAAATAGGGTTAGTTGGATCTTTTGTCTTTGGATTGGAAGTATGGGAGGATGGATATACGGAGATCTTGCAGTTGGACATGTGCATGCCGGCGTGTTTACCCATTTCAGCAGATGGGCTGCTTGTGGTCATTGAGTGCATGGCGTGTTGTTCCATGTTGAATATGGAGGTTAGAGAGGTTTTTGATAGAGTGAGGAGAGGGGAGAGGGGATTTAAGAGTGTGCTGTCCACTCAAACAGACACGGGCTATTACTAAATACAACTCGATATAATCTATACTATGTGCTCAAATGAACTCACTAGTTACATAAATTTAACTAGGTAGAAATAATTACTCTAATACTACCCTAATTCTCCGAGTCAATGACCAAAGATCAGTCGTACGACCCTTGTCTAAAGTGTTAGGGCTGGTCCAACGATGTGGATGCGCGGAATTGAGCATATTTACATCGCCCCACCCTGTGCTTTGCAAAGTTGGCTGTCTCAGAAGGACCAGTCAGATGTTTGATCTAATCTAGCCAAGAGTGTCGACAGCCTTGTTGAAAGCAATGTATCATCAATTCCATCCAGGATGTCAGTTAGGGTTATGATTGATATGGTCAGCTGTTGCCAAGACTCTGCCCGTCTTTCCTCTCCGCATCTTCTCCCCATCCGCTTTACACCAACTTACCCTTCTCCGCTTCAATCGAGGTTGCTCCATATTATGGTCGATATCGAAGAGACGGACGCCACTGCAACGGCCAGTGAAGATGATGACGACGATGATTTGGACGCGCCCCTAAGGACATCGCGTCAACCCACCGCGCGTGACGACAGTACGCTTCCTTCCCCGCATATTCGCCTCTCCCCATCTCTAAGCAATCGGTAACAGACACAGATCAACCCAACCTTCCTGAAAAAGAACCCCCTCGTTCTATTTCTCCGGACCCTCTAAAAGTCCAGATCTCCGACCCGAGCGATGGAGACGAGGACTTTGACGACCCCGAGGCCGCCTACAAGGCCTTCCAGAAGCGCAAATCCCTGAAACGCAAGCGAGCGTCCACCGGCCCGCGCAAGAGCACCACCCATACCTCCACCCCGCGCGTGACCTCCACAACCTTCGACGTCATCGTTGGCAAGATACCCCGGTCGCGACGGAAGGCGCCGGTGCGGCCCCTGAAGACCTTTGGTGAAGTGCCGAGCGACGATGAGGGCGATGACTCGCTTCCGGACTACCTGCAAAAGCGTCGGACCGAGTTCGATACGAAGACAGAAGAATTGAAGACGTCGGGGTTGAAACTTCCTCCGACCTACGATGACGTCGAATTTTCGGATGACGAGCGCCTCGAGGATCTCAGGGAGAAGCCGACCTTCAGTAACATGACGCCCTGCAGTCCCTATAAAGATATCACCCTTCCATACTCGCTTGGATTGATCCCAGCCCCCATCGCGCAGTGGCTGCGCCAGTACCAGGTGGACGGTGTGGCCTTCCTACACGAGCTCTTCGTTTATCAGAAGGGCGGGATTCTCGGCGATGATATGGGTCTGGGGAAAACAGTCCAGGTGATCGCTTTCCTCACCGCAGCGTATGGGAAGACCGGCGACGAACGAGACGCGAAGAGGATGCGGAAGATGCGCCGGAGCGATCAACCCCGCTGGTACCCGCGAACACTCATCGTTTGCCCCGGTACCTTGCTCCAGAATTG